CTAACAGTCTCCAGTCTGCACACACTCAGGAACCAGTCTCTCCTGCTAGCCACCAGTCAATAACAACAGCAGGAGACTTATTTCATAAAACATCAGTAAGATATTTTAATGAGAAAAAAAAAAAAACAAAAACAAATCTTAGTCTCATGTTTCTATCCAAAGACACTCAAGACTAAACTTTCCCTGTCCATCCCTTCTAACTGTAACTTTATTTGTGACCATTAATAAAGGCCAGCTTAAAGATTAAAAAAAAAATTAAACCTTTTTTAAAAAAGATTAAGCAATCAGGCTAGCAAAAAAGGTACTCAATACATACTTTTTCTCATATCAAACAAGCTAATATTTCAGTACAGTATAACTATACAGAATATATACAATACATGTATGTTCACAAAGCAAACACTAGGCTCAGAACAGATTTGAAAAAACATGATATTCACATTGATTACAATAACTCTAAAAATGATTGTAACATTGGAACGGCACTTAGTTTACAAAAAAGTCACAAAAATATATATATATGTAGTCACCAAGAACCATGGTTTCTGTAAAATACTAATAGAGAGATACTAGTTTATAAAACGTGAAGTTATGACACTGTGTACATTTTATTTTTTTTTAGGAAATCAAAACAAAAATTTAAGACCATTCTTGTTATTGTAGAAAGTCAAACATGCCAAGTACTTTAGCTATGGCCACTGTCACCAAGTAAAGCTATACTTGAATGAGATGACAACTGGTCCAGGCTGGTGAAGTGGGACTGGCACGGTTGGAGTAGTACTGTTGTAGGAGAGCGGTGGAGAACATGGAACACCCCTGCATGGAACTGCTTCCACATTCTCTCCTCAGCGGTTCCCTCTTTGGCCTGTCTCCCAGATACCAGTCCCCCAAGAATCACAATGCTCTATCTGGCAGGGTAGGAAGCTTCCCTGACCTCCGTGCTGCCAGCTACAGGCAAATATTAAAGCATGCATCAGCTACATGGAACACCTGGCCACCGGCTGGCAGACTGTGGTGCAGTCTCTTTCTAGGCTGCTTGTATTAGAAAGGACCTCAGTTTTAAATGGGGCCAGATTTATATATTAGCCCTATAAAATAGTGAGCTACCATAGCAGCAAATACGAAATCACAGGAGCAAAACCACAACTTTATTTAAAAAGCTAATTTGTTACATCAAAGTAATTGTTTTCCCTTTTAAATCTGTCTCCCCTCACCAGACATCTTTTTCCCTATCACCCAACTCTCTGGTTTATTACACCAATCTGACTTTCTTATCACGGTTCTGAAAAAAGATACTCCTAAGCCTGGAAAATCTTTAGTTTACTCTTAAAAATGGGAATACAGGAATTTTAAAGTTAAAAAAAAAGTTTGTTCTAAAAGTATCTTTCACAAATATATATATTTAAATATTAAAATACCTAAGATTTTTATAAAATGGCTTTTGAAAAGACAGTAGAGGCACAAAGAGGCCACATACCATCCTTCAAGTTGAACGTAAGGTGCCACAAGGGTGCCTTAACAAAGAGGCAGGCAATATCTAGCTGATGCAATAGGAGACACCAGTATCAATAAACTAAATACATCATTGGAACTTGAGTCAAAACCGGATTTTACTCTATCAGAGACTGTTGTTTCTTTAAGCAATACCGTCATATATAAGCATCAGAAGCCATCATTTTGTATAAACAAAATAACGAGTTTATGACCTCACTTCTAAATACCCAATGCCACTCACTCTAGGGGGCAGAAAAGCAGTGCAACCTTTAAAACTGTAATGCATTCTCAGTATCAAAGACCTTCCATACCAGCGGTCAACCGGAGAACTGCTACCTAACCTGACAAACCCATAGAAAGAGCACTCACACGAATCACAGAAAAGGCTCTCCGGAAAATGGAACGGCAGAAAATGCTTGTCCATCTCGAGGCCAACACTGCTGTAACCTCTCCTGGTGCAGACAGAGGCTGACTGCTCAGCGGGCGATGCGCTTTGGTAATGGACACTCATTCACAGGAGGATTTTTCAAGCTCTAGGTATAGTCAGACTGGCATTTGAGAAAACAAGGAATTCAGTAAAAGTCATGATAGTATAGCTCCTCCAATGATTACTGGTGATTTTACTAGTAAATCATAACTGAGCCCAGGGCCTTCAGGCGTAGCAAAGCTTGATAACTTAGAAAGAAATAAAAAATTGATTTTATAAATTAGGCACTTAAAAAACTTAATTTTTCTTTCATTTTTAATTAATAAAAACATTAATTATAATGTTTTTCAATCATGGTCTGAACTCCTAATTTTTTTTGTCAACTGTTATGTACACAGGAAGCCTGGTGTCTGCTGGCCTGGGTCTCACTCAGAGGTCTCACTCACTGCTAAAGCTGAAGAAGCGGTTAAAGCAATATCACAGTTCAGACACTGCCAAAAGCAAGGCTCCAACAGCACTGTCTGGACTCTACAGTGACTACTTCCAAAACCATGAACTATTGTTTCTATTATAAAAATAGAATTATGATATGGGGAAAGCATCTCACTCATCACTTCAGTACACATTAATTAAAAAAAAAAAAAAGCGTAACTCCTGGTAGTAGCTGGTGCCATTCCCTGTTCAACGCAGTTCATGTTTCTAGGTTGCAGCAAAAATCTCAACATATGTATAATCCAGAGTGAACCATCTATAGCCTACTTCTTAACTGGCTTGAGGACGGGCTCGAGTCCACTTCATTGTTTATCTAAACCACTGCTATTTTGGTAAATTTGTTTTGCTGAAGATTTTTCATGTAAAAATTATCACATGTCACCACACACTGTCAAAAATGAAAGAGGGATAAATACTAGTATAAGCAAAATAAGAAATCTTAATTTTGATGATCTTATTTAAAACATGCATTTTGTTATAAATATTCCTAATAGCTCTGTTTATGACAATAACACCTCTCCACTCTCTCACTTTTGTTCCACTGCCTTCTGGTTTCTACATGTTCTCTTAGCAACTATCAAAATATGAAAAGGCATCTGATGTCAACACTTACAGTGAAAACCTATCTTCCTCCCTACCTGTTTGTTCCATATGTGAGCTTTCCTAGTTCTTCTCCCACTCCTAGTTAAGAACTTAAAAATCATTCCTTCACAGTTTGAAGGCCCTTTGGGCAGATGAGTGATGCAGTACAATAAAAGTTTCCAATTTCTACAAATCAAAATTTCTTCAGTTAAAACTGAGGACTGTTCACTTGCCATCATAAGAAATCATCTTCTGTGATCTTGACAGAGAATAGCCGTCTGCATGACATTGTATGGTCATGCACCTTATAGGAAATTCAAAGCTAACAGACTAAAGCATAATCTGAAAACCGACACACTCACTGCATAAGTGGCTTCTATTAATTAGACTAAGAGAATAAAATAAGTCTTTTGTTTGTTTGTTGTTGTTTTTTTTTTTTTAAAGCAGTGAAAGACTTACTATAGCTTCCAAAGGAACCAGGATCAGTTTTAAAACAGGAGAGCCTGGCGCAGCAGTTAGAAGGTAACTGGGTTACCAATGACTCAGCGAATCAGAGGCCCTGGCTACTTCACTCTATTTAGTAAAACATTTTAACAAAACACAAGTATTTTTGTTTGTTTGTTTTTAATAACAAAGGGAATGTATCTTAACACGGATCCTATTTATCAGGACTTAAAATGTTCAGACAGAAGACTGAAATGAAGCCACTTAAACATTTTAGTATACTTTGTCTTAACAGAAATGTGAACTTAAAAAAACCAGCCACCACTCCTCAAAAACCCAAAATAAAACCTAGTAATATAATGAACTGTGTTAAAACTTGAAATTAAACTCAAAATAAAAATTACAATTGTGCCGGGCAGTGGTGGCGCACGCCTTTAATCCCAGCACTTGGGAGGCAGAGGCAGGCAGATTTCTGAGTTCGAGTCCAGCCTGGTCTACAGAGTGAGTTCCAGGACAGCCAGGGCTATACAGAGAAACCCTGTCTTGAAAAACAAAAATAAATTAGAATTGTTTAAAATGGCCAATTAAGAGAGGCTCACATATTTGTGGGTAATATTTATCTACATCCACTTCTTGGAAAATTTAAATGCACAAATTAAAGGTCACTGTCAAGTTCCATTTCTGAGTTAGGGACTCACTGACATGATACTCTGAAGCTAGAGTGTGGGAATGCAAAGACTGACGGGAGGAGCCACAACTCCTATAACACAGTGAGAACTTTACCTCTAAAGCACAGCCTATTGAGTAGTTGGAAAAAAAAAACTGAAAACAAAGCTTTTCTTATATAAAATGCTGTTTTTTAAAAAGTAACTTATCTAGCACTCTAAAATTTAAGCCCTTTAAATATCACAAAGTTACCCTCCTATGCCTTACAAAAGACCTTTAAATATTCTAAACAAGAATGCTTCTCTATTTAGTTACCCTGGTGATTTCTATATGACGGGATCATATAACGGCTTTCCTCTCTTCACAATGTTTTCCCTATGTTCTGGTGAAAAGTATACATCTAGGCATTCCTCTCTTAAATCAACTTTAAATATTACTATATATATAAAATTATCTCTTCCAGTTGTATTTCCTATAACAGACCCATAAACAAAATGTCCTCAAAAATGTAGTATTATTGGAACAGAAAAGGCCTTTGTATTATTTTATATTAAACACTGGTCAGGTAACTTTATCAAAAAGATTTGGGAAGTAGGCAACTACCATTTGAGTATTTATAGTATATTCAAATCTCTCATTAAGGTTGGCTACAAGATTTGTCACTAGTAATGAAAATCCATAGTGAGGCGTGTTCTTCACAGGGAGGCTGCCAGGGCTGTCCTGACTCAGAAGAACTCTTAGGATAGAGTGTACTGAAACGCTTTCAGCCAAATCTCAAAAAAATTCTTCAAATCAATTCATCTCTAATTTACTCTTATTTCTTTTTTTCTCTTAACAAAATAAAAACAAAACAACCCACTTTAGAATCAAGAACATTTACCATACTAAAATAGGATTCTAATGAGTTTTTGGATTTATTAATTAGTAGGCACAGTTTTCAAAGATCAAATATGATAATAAAATAAAAATTACTGACTTTTCTAGTTACCGATTACTGATTTTCTGAAAGTCACACACTTATGCTTGGGAGCAAATAAGCTCATGAGTCAGGTAAAACACTGGAAATAAGGGCGGGGTTGTATCTAGTGATAGAGCATGTGCTCATAAGATGTAAAGTCCTGGGTTCAATTCTCAGTATTAAGAAAAAAAAAATGGACAGAGATAGAAATCAAATTACAGAATTAATAAATTTTAAAGAAACAAATTACTATAATATAAAAAGTAAGTAAGGCCTGGCATTGGGATAAAAATCAGATCATGTGTTTGACTAAGACTATAGTTCGAACTGGGTGTGGTGGTATGTCTATAATATATGTTAGCAAGGGTTATGAGCAAACTGGGGCAAGAGGATCATGAGTTCTGGACCAACCTGGGCTACCTATGATCCTGTCACAAAACAAAGGATAATATCCAAAGTCAAACAAAAAAAATATGTTGTTTTTATCTTCTAACCTCATCAGGGGCTATCATAATGATAAACATTGGGGCTATTTTCTATATAAAAAAATTACACAAAAGTTCATTATTTGTAGATTCATGAATATTTCAGATGGAAGAAGCATTAATGTTAGCAGATAAAAAAAGTATATCCGAATCTAGAGTATCATATAAATGTTATCATCTGAGTAGCAAAGTTTTTAGATTCTAGTCTTAACAATCCCTCCTCCAATTTCTGAGTCACAGACGATCATTTTACAACCTCTTCTTATCTTTCACATTATTGCTTACATCCCGTAACAACTATAATAGCTGCTTTTTAACAAACTTGGCAATACCTTAAAATATTTTGGAATAAGGACATTATATTGTTGTCATATGTGATCTTGTAAACAATCTTAATTGGGTTAAGAATGTAGCCTCAAAACAGAATTCTTTTATTTTGTCCAAAACAGCACAGCATTGACATCCTCAACAATACATAAACCTATATATAAAATATAGAATATCTTCAATGTTTTTCTTTTATATGGCAGCACAATAGTATATGCAAGTGAAAGTGCTGTTGGTGGGACATGAGGACACTTCTCTGAGCAATGTCCTAGTTAGCCAGGTGTCAGCATTCAATGACCAGGAAGAGAAATGGTCTGAAGAGTTCTTGAAAAGCTGGGTATACGTACCTCGTTCTGCACCCTGCCATTCCATGCACAGCCTGACTCTTCTCAATCACACCTCTTATTAGCCTTTGGAGTGGTACTATAAAGGTACAGGAAATGCCTGCCTGATAATATTTTTTCACCATAAAAATTCAAAATGGCTTAAAAGAATATACTGGATTTCAGAAGTTATTTACCTTCATCTGAAAAAAAATTATCGTAAATACTTCCAAATCTACAGGCTTTATAACACCCTGCATCTAGGAGTAAACATTTACTTAGGCATTGTCAAATGGTTTAGTAACTTCTCATTAGCCCTCTTTCTCAGGAAGGTCAAGAACAACCTGATTTCTTTTGTATCTGCTGCTGCCCACTTTTAACAATGGGAGGAAGAACTGCCATGTTCTAAGTCAGCTGCTTTTCCTTAAGTCTCAAAGTGTATGTTCTGTTTCAATGTTACCTTATTGTATAAATACAGAAGCAATCTCTCAGCTATGAAAAAAACAAAGCAAAACAAAGAACCCTCCAGTTTCAGGGCTTACAAAGGGAACCCTTCTTTAAAAAATTAAATTAAATTTAAACATGTGAGACCAAGCACAGGCACTTTCCAAAAAACCAAAACCCAGGCCAATCACAGAATTACTCAATAGTTATAGAAGATAGCTCTGCCTTGGGGGGGTCATCTCTGGGAGTCTCAGCATGAGCACTGGTCTTTGGCTGCTCTTGCAGTTCCTCCTCCTTTTCTGCAAGCCCACCAAGAGACCCCAGGGGAAAAGTGCTTTCACAATTCTGGGTTGAGGAGACCTGTGAAATCACAGGCATTTGAACAGAAGAGTTGCTTTCAAAAGTATGTTCTCCAAGATCATATTGAACAAGGGTGTCTTCTTGCTCCTGGTTTAAGTAGTCCGGTACTAAGAAATCACTAAATGAGAGGCAAAGGATAAAATGCAAAATTAATTTTCAAACTATAATAAAGAGATATCAACTATAAAACAAGACTGGGACTTTTCATTTTACTAATTATTCAATGAAGTTAATAAATAAGCTTTCCCAAATATCAACTGAAGCCATTCAGTAGAACCAAAGTGCATCCCATCTCCCTATGGGCAATAAAAATGATTAATGATCACTTCCAGTGATTCTCTGGATACTTCAAAGGCCTTTCTGGATCTACATATAGGAGTCTGTATATAATTTAAGTGGCATTTCAATAAAGCAAGCATCATGTGAATAAGCTGAGTAACATATGTGTCTACATAGTAATTTCTAATGTCTTGTGTATATTTCCTAAAAAGTCTTCATGGGTTATAGAAGAGTAGTATAAGATACAGAGCCCTATATGGGAAAGACACATAGGAGTGGTGAAACTGGACTATTTAATTCCTCAACAACTATTTCTAATAAGTATAATCTAGTTTTAGTGACATAACCATACATTGAGAATCAGAACTGATAAAATGAAATGAATACCTGGTCTGGAGTTAAAAATAAAATCTATACATGAATAGTTTAGAATTGAAAAGATGTTTAAAAAAAGGGTTAACTTAAAATTGTAAAGGTTTAAAAGAATTTTATGTTTTGAGAAACTAAGGATTCCTACAGAGGTGGAATTCTAATGAAGTATTAAAAAATCACACATAAAAGAGTTTTATGTCTACAGGAGGACTTAGATACTATCCTGTTAAAACTTGTGCTTTATCTTCAGCTAAATTTCAAATGATACCCAACATGTTCAATCAGCAGCAGAGCTAGAAATAAATAGAATTGTATTTACTTGGATAACCTATAAATCACAAATATATTATTATAGTGAGTTATTAATGCTAAAAAGCCAGAGCACTAAATTAAGAAAATAGGAGACTTACTGGATGTAATCACAGCTATGGTAACAGGTGTCAGTGTTTTCTGATAAATGGATACTCCTTTACATAAGGCTTTATTATTTTTTTATTTATTTGTTTGTTTTTTTTCTAGATATGGTTTCTCTATGGGGCGCTGGCTGTCTTATAGACCAACCTGGCCTGGAACTCAGAGATCTGCCTGCCTCCGGGATTAAAAGCATGCACCACCAAGCCTGGATATATAAATTTTAAAAAGAACTCTGCTAACATTTATAGTCTGACCTGTACTCTTCTAAGATATACATGACATGGTATATCTGGTAATAAGATCTAGTTAAATCTAGTATATTATGTATATGATACATAGTGTATAGACATTTATTTAACTTCATAAAAACAAAAACTCAAGAGGACAAATAGTCTCCTGTGGGGGTATTTTTACTATTTATTTTGTAGGAAATATTTTAAATGCCAATAATATAGTATGACTTTGTAACTTAGGAGACCTACCAAAATTTCACAAGATCGGGAGATCAGAGTATTCGTAGTGGCAATTTAAAATGAATGTGACTAATTAGCTGGCAACCTGATAATAACACAGCAGGCTGCCCTAAAAGTAGGAAGAGTTTAGAAAGCAGTTTTTCCTGATGGGGTTTTCGCTGTGCACCTCACCTGCTCTGGAAGTAGTTTGCTAGCTCTGATGCTTCATGGTTCAGACTCCTCAGGTGCACGATTAAATTTCCAGAGTTGGTGAACATGGCGCCACATGTTTTGCACTCGTAAATCCGAGGCTTGCGGATAATGTGCCGGGAAACCCTCATATGGTGTTTATACTCCCCGAAGGAAGTGAAAGTGGCACTACATATCTGGCACCGGAAACAGCGTTTACCTTCATGCTTTAGGCGATGCATCTTTAGCGAGTAAGCCCTGGTAAACTTTTTTCCACAGCAGTCACACTGAAATGGTTTAATTCCTATAAAACAAAACAACAAAATACCATCTGAAAAATAAAATAGACTGAGAGGTTATAAAATCACACATTTCTGAATAACAATTTTATAATAATATTAAAAGAAAAATGCCAATAAAACAGACTCAACATTATTTCAGAGGTGGTCTAGAATATTTGAAGTCACTACTGCTTTAAAAAAGGGTAAGATAGGGAAGAGGCAATGAGGTAATATATATTGAATTTTTTTCTGAATGTTCTTCTAAATGATGTATTTTCCAGACTTTAAAAATTAATTATCCTAGTTAGCTTTAACTGTCAATATGACAACAGCCTGGAGCCATATCAGAATGGAGTCTCAACTGAGAAACTGCCAGAGATCAGATTAGGTGGCATCTGTTGGGAATTATCTGGATTGCTAATTGGTGTAGGAAAGCCCAGCCCACCGTGGGCAGTACCAATCTCCAGGTGATTCTAGGCTATATGAGAAAAAGAAAAGTACAAAAGTAGGAAAGTACGGGCCTGTGAGTGAGCGAGCAAGCAACACTCCTCCATGGTTTTTGTGTCGTTCCGTGCTCAGATTTCCCTACATAATGGACTGTGACCTACACAACAAAATAAACCAGTTCTCCCCTAAGTTTTAGCACAGCAATGGAGAGGAAATTAGAACATTATTTCATTTGTTTGTGGAACTGGGATGCACTTTAGGGCCTGTGTACACTAGGCAAGGGTCTGTGTACACTAGGCAAGGGCCCTACCACCGAACCAAATCTCTAGCTGTAAAACACACTTAACTACATCATTTATATACCTCAAATCACTAATAACAACATGTATTTCATTAGAGAGATCTGTGATGGTTAGTGTTATAAATTCAACAAAATGTAGAATCACCTGGAAGATGGGCCTCTGGGTTTATCTTTATTAAGTTAACTGATGTGGGAAGATTACATTAATTACCAGTGGGATCTTTCCATGGGCAGGGAATTCTGGATGGTATCAACAAGAAGGCAAGAAGAATACCCTCATGCCCACATTACTCATTGCTCTCTGCTCTTGAGTGGACTGATATGTTTGGTCCTTTCGAGTTCCTACTGCTAAGACTTCCTTGCCATGATGGACTTACTGTAACCTGGAATTGTGAGCCAAATAAGCCCTTACTCCTTTAAGTTGCTCTTCTCAGGATATTTTATTACAGCAACAGAAAAACTAAGATACCATTTTAGACAGAAATTTAAAAAAAGAAAAGAAAAATTCTAACATCTCTGTATGTAACAATCATGACAGGCTCATTAAATGATAATTAGCTTTTGAGTATTTAATATTATTAGGTATTGATAAGGGAGTTATAAAGAATATTAACAGTTTCATTACAGTTACTATCACAATTTGGGGGGAAGGAGGCTAAAAGTGCAGAACATAAGCCAACCTATGGACTTAACGAGATCACAGGGAAGTGGCACTAGGACAGAGAGGGCAAGAACACAGAGAGCCGGACAGTAGCAGTCACGGCCTCTTACCTTCAGTCAGGCTTTACTGTTTACCTGTGTATCATCACTACACACAAACTTCACTGACATCTACACATCCACCTAACATATTTTTTTTTCCTATCCAAAAAAATACTACAAAACTAACTAATCAAAAGCAAATACTGGAGTTCGAGGCCAGCCTGGTCTACAGAGTGAGTTCCAGGACAGCCAGGGCTATACAGAGAAACCCTGTCTCGAAAAACCAAAAAAAAAAGTATAATTTTTAACTCTATTTGCACTTGTGAAACATATAACTAATATATCCAGTACCTGTTAACTTATACATTTACTACTATACATAACTGCTTCTAAGTTTTCATCAGAATACTGGATACCTGTGGTAAAATATTCTAGTTTCCCAATATTTCAAAAAGAGACCATAGTTAGTCAATCTGGTCTCATCTGACTTCTCAGGACTGCACAGTTCTTTTCTGTTCTGTAATGGACCTCCCTCATATGCCCACCCAGCCTCCACTTCCTTTTCCCACTCCCTAAACCCCCCTTTCCCTTGCTTAGATGGAATGGAGTCTTTCTGTTATACAGTCTAGGCGCTGGCCTCAAATTCTAGATCTTCATGCCTCAGTCTCTTGAGTGGTGGGACTAAAGGCATATGTCACTATGCCTGGTACAAAGTCTTCACTTTCAGCCGGGCAGTGGTGGCAGGCGCCTTTAATCCCAGCAATTGGGAGGCAGAGGCAGGCGGATCTCTGAGTTCGAGGCCAGCCTGGTCTACAGAGTGAGTTCCAGGATAGCCAAGGGCTTCACAGAGAAGCCCTGTCTTGAAAAACCAAAAACCAAAAACCAAAAAACAAAAAACAAAAAAAAACAAAACCAAAAAACAACCAACCAACAACCCCAAAGTCTTCACTTTCTATTTTAATCAGGATTACAAAGTAAAATGTTTTGGCACACCCCCTTATACAACAACATTGAAGGTAACATTACCTGAGTGGATAAGCATGTGCTGTTTTAGATTCTGAATACGGGTGAAGCGAACCCCACAGGTTGGACATTGAAAAGGTCTGTCTGGACCATTTGGACTTGGTCGTTCTGTACTGCTGGTAGAAGGAGCAATGTAGAGTTGATAGGGATACTGAACATTTTCCAATCTAAAAAAATAAACCAAAAAAGGCAAGGAGGCTCTGATGTTTAAGTTGAATACACATTTCTGTAACCCAACTCTTAAATGAACAAAGGAAACAAGAAAGACTTTTAAAAACAGAATTTCAATTAGAAAGTTTTAAAAAGCAATGTGATTGTCCAGAACGTCCAGCATCTTTCAGTGTGGACATAAAACATCGTAAGCTGTTTTACCTTAGATTACCTTGACTTCCCTCCTTTCTTCTACTGTTTTAATTTAGACCCTTATCATTTCCCCCTTTAAAATCTTGCAACAACTGTCTTCTTTAGGATAAAGTCTCAACCCCCACAAAAAATGTCCAAAATTACTCATATATGAGCTTTCTCTTACCAGTCTAATTTCTGGTCATACCCCCATGCTTCAAAATATACTTTATGCTGGGCAGTGGTGGCGCAGGCCTTTAATCCCAGCACTCGGAGGCAGAGGCAGGCAGATTTCTGAGTTCAAGGCCAGCCTGGTCTACAGAGTGAGTTCCAGGACAGCCAGGGCTACACAGAGAAACCCTGTCTCGAAAAACAACAACAACAAAAAAATATACTTTATACTAAATAATTCCTCTAGTGTGCTTATATGCTGTGTTTTCAGCCACTGTACCTCTTCTAATGAGCCTATCGTCTTTGTTTATGTTGTATCCATTCATTTTATAAAATGTAGCTGATTTATCCTCTCCTCTTCCTGCAAGCCTGAACTGGTCTATTGCTTAAATAGGTAATTTCCTATAGACAGCAGCAAACCCCCTGCAGATTACCCCATCTATCTTCAACTTCTTTACTTCCCTGAAAACTCATGGAGCTCTGAAGAAAAAAGGCTATTTATTTCATTTCTAAACTTCCATGACTTAGTGATGTATTTAATAAAGAACAGACAACTCAATTACTATTTTAAAAATTTAAATTGAGGAATAAGGGCACTTGTGCTTATTTATGCTTTTACTAATTTATTCAAGTGATTTTGGTTCATAATCTCCCAGGGTTATCTACTCAAGATAACACATCTTTGAATCCTTCAAGTTTTCAGCAAGTACAGGCATTAAGACTATTTTGCACGCTCTGAGGAGCAATTCTTTCAGTGGAATCTATATTCAGTAGTGAGAGACAAACAATAAATAATTGGGAAAGGACCAGAGAGAGGGTAGAGAATCAAATTAGGACGACCCCACAGTGCTGGTTTAAGCTGGTAGTCAATAAAGGCCTCCTCAACAATTGGTAACAAGTCAATGATCTGAAGGTCAGAGCCAGAGGGGGCTGGAGATATGGCTCAGTTGCTAAGAGTACTGAATATTCTTCCAGGACCTGGGTTTGAGTCCCAGCAGCCAGATAGTGCTTCACAACCATCTAAAACTCCAGTTCCAGGGGATCTAATGCCCTTTAATAGCTTCTGCAGGCACCATGCAGAGATGTGGTGCACAGTACACAAACATATATGCAGGCAAAACAACAGTACATATTAAATTATATAAAAAATTTAAGAGTCAAAACAGTGAATGGAGATTAGGGGAGAAAACATCTTAAGCAAAGGTTATAAAATAGAAAGGCCCAGAGGGAGGAACAAATCTAGAAGGCTTTGGGAACTGATGAAAGTTTGGTAAACTTGGATCATGTAGAATAAAACGTAAGGAATTTAGATTTTGTTTGTTTGTTTTTTGAGACAGGGTTTCTCTGTATAGTCCTGCTGACCTAGAACTCATTTTGTAGATCAGGATATCCACCTGCCTCTGCCTCTCAACTGTTGGAATTACAAGTGTGTGCCAACACTGCCTGGCAGGAATTTAGATTTCAAGTAAAAACCATGACATCTTAGTTAAAAATAAAATGATCTGGTAGTACATAGAGAATGGACTTAAGAAGCAGAAGAATGAAATCAGGGACCAATCATTTCCAAGCTAGTAGAGTAGTCAGGAGAAAGATGGCAGTGATTTAAACCAGTGTACCAGAACTGAAAGGACTTAAAGATTAGATTCAGGGCAATCAAGTGAGAAGTGATGAAGGAAAAAGGATAATGTATAGTTCTTAGAGGCTGAATGAAGACAAGACCTTGAAAATCATGTATGGCATCTAGAACTATACTTGGCAAACAAGAGAGCAAACATTCTGTATATAAGGTTAGCGTACTACGCAGTTTAGGAAATGTGCAAAATTGTCCTTAAGTTTCAATCAATTTCTTACACAAGTTTGAATTGAGAGCTATAAACACAGTCTTCATGAGGAAAGGACATACTATGTTGGCACTAACCTGTCATCGTCATCTGCATGAGCATTGGTGGTAGAAGTGCTCTGAAGTGTAGGCAATCCTTCAGTGACTCCTTCATCTACTGAGCCTGCAAAAAAGAATTGTTAAAAGAGACAGTTGTTAATGTTTGGTGCAAATAATCCAAGATGTTAACTGTTAACTACAAGTCACATATCCAATCCTCTAACTTACCTAGCGCTCGTATCTTATTAAAGTGTAATGTTTTACACACAGACACACAGACACACTTGTTTTTTTGAGCCACGGTTTCTTTGTGGAGCTTTGGCTATCCTGGAACTCACACCGTAGACCAGGCTGGTCTTGAACTCACAGAGATCCGCCTGCCTCTGCCTCCCAAGTACTAGGATTAAAAGTGTGTGCCACCACCAACTGGTATAAACCACCTGGTTATATTTTATTTTTGACTGAATGTTCATGTGATTTAAAAGTAAATCACACAGGACTAGCAAGATGATTTAATAAATGTAGCTTCAATATTTAAAATTTTCAGTGCCGGGCAGTGGTGGCGCACGCCTTTAATCCTAGCACTTGGGAGGCAGAGGCAGGTGGATTTCTGAGCTTGAGAGTTCGAAGCTAGCCTGGTCTACAGAGTGAGTTCCAGGACAGCCAGGGCTACACAGAGAAACCCTGTCTCGAAAAACCAAAAAAAAAAAAAAAAAAAAAAAAAAAAAAAAAAAAAAAAAATTTCAGGTATATTTCTTTCATGGGAACCTTGGGAAAATAAGAACGACTCAAATGTAAACTGAAATCCACATAAAATTAAATGATATTGATACTTATTTAAGAAAGCACTGTTAATTTGTATCTTTTAGAAATTACTTTATTGTCACAATTTTTACAGACAATTTAAAGGACAAGGGTCAGGTCTGAGAGATGGCTCAGCAGTTAAGAGCACTGACTGCTCTTCCAGAAGACCCAGGTTCAATTCCCAATACTCAGTGCTCTAACTCCAGTTTAGTGTTATCTAGTTATAAACTTGAATTATGTATTCATATTCATATACTGTTATGTATTCTTACAGCTTCATATACTGTAGCATATTCACATTTATAATGAGTTTATTTTCACTGTTATAGAATACTTATAACCTATTACCTTGTGAGGGAAGTATGGGATTTTCTATGAACTTTGCTGCTGAGAATGCTCTTACAGAAACTTAATGCATATGTGTAGAAGTCAAATCCCTGTTCTATTGGATTGGAAATTATATACTTCCCTCCTGTTTTTACTGGTTAGTTATCTTAGTCATTTCACATACCCTGGACTGGGGATGTAGCTTAGTGGTAAATCAAATGCCTAGCATGCAAAAAGCCCTGGGTTCTGTCCTTAGCAACTCCTTCTCCCAGCTCCTGGGGCAGAATATAACTTAATCAAAGTCTAACCAAAACCTACACAACCTTCCACATAATATAAGAATGGCTGACAGCCTGAACTCCCTTTCCTACTGGCTTTGATTCTATAGCAAATTTTCTGGTATTTTGATTAATTAGGCCTGCAGATATTACTGCTCTGTTGTATAAATAATGCTTATTTATATTTCTTCATGCTTTGCCTGTTTGTTCTTAAATATGAGACTTATTTATGCCAGCTTTGCCCAATGGAGGCCATCCTTAGGATTTTCTAGTAATGATTTAGTTAACTTAAAAAAAATTGCCCACCAGCTTTACTTTTTTTTTTTTTTTGAGTCAGAGTCACATGGAGCAGGAGGTGGCACAGACCTATACTGAAGCCCTCAGAAAGCAAAGGCAGGAGCATTGTAACTTTTTATCTTTTTGATACTTGAACCCTCTGTATCCTGGGCTGCCCTTGAACTTATATTCCTGCCTGTACCTCCTGAGTACTGGGATTACAGAGTAGGTCACTATGCCTGGTTTTCTGCAGCACTGGTGATTAAACCTGTATGCCAGGCAAGCACTCTACCAGTTGAGTTACATTCCGATCTTTCATTTTCCCTACTGAACTCACTGTATGTGCAATCTAGATTAGCAGTTACTTTTCTTAGGACAACATCCTACTGGGTTCTGATATTCTCTCCCTTATATATTTGTATGTTTTCCCACACGATGCTTTCTCTAATAGTCTCTATTTTTCCTGTCTCTTCAACAAAATATTAAAATGATTTGCTTTTAGACTCAATTCTTTTTTTGCTAAATCCAATCTGCTGAGATTTTGTTTTTAGCTAGATTTTTTCTTCTAAATCTGTTACTTTGTGTATAACTTACTGCTCTCTCTAGTCATTGTTCAAACCTGTTAACTGTGCTGAGTAAGCATATTTGTTAGAAACTGTTCAATGGCTTTCTGTTCCCTTCTATTACAGGTTTCTGTCATCTTTTCCTTGTGAGTGCATCTCCGTTGCCTTGTTCCCTTCTTACCTTTTATGGTTTGTGGCCTTGAAGTTAAATACGATCTCTTCCAAAGGTTTATACTTGCTTCTGCTAGGTTCTTGAATGTGACTTGCAATTGTAAGGCTTGTCTGCATATTATATAACCAAGATGATTGTATGTGCAAATGATCTAGTGGGTGATTGCTTTTCAGGAAGCACCCCCCACCCCGTTCTCTTGGATATACATGTAAATGCCTGTGTACATAGGCCAGAAGTAAATATCTCACGCCTCCTTGAATGCCCTCTATTATATACTGAACTCAGCAAGGTCTCACTTGAAACCGTAACTCACCAATTCCATTAGTGTAGTTAGCAGCTTGCGTTGGAGGTGTGTGGGGGAGTGTCCTGTCTTCTAAACAATTACATGTTTCTATGCTTGGCTGGTTTTATGTGGGTGCTGGGGGATCTGAACTCTGGCAAATGCCTTACTCACTGAACTATCTCCCCAGTTCCCTCCTTTTTGTCTGCCCACTGCCAAAGGGCTGTTATAGTCTCCTGGAGTTTCAAGGACAAGCAGCAGGTTTAGTTCTAGTGATCCAGTCTTTTAAGGTGAGCAATCTCTCTAAGACTGAAAAACTTGCACTTGCTTGTATAGAAATCTGGTTTCTATTCCCTTCCCTCTATGTTTGGAAAGTCCTCAACACTTGCATGCCACCTGGAGAGGCTATTACTAGTTGTGCTTTTCTTAATAATTATGAGGCCCTTTCAGTGTGGATTTGTTTGAGACAGGGGTCTCATCTGACTCCTGCTGGCCTTGAATTCCTTATGTAGCAAAGGTTGGGCTTTCACTTCTGAGCCTCTGGCCTCCATCTCTTAAAATGCTTAAAATGCTTGGGATAACAAGCATGTTGCTATCATGCCCAGCTGAAAAATCTGCTCATTTTTAACTCTCAACAGAAAGTTTTGATTTGCAATAGAAAACCTCAATCTCTCACTGAGAAAGGGAAAAAAGGAGGAGCAGAAAGGACCCAGGAGGAACTTCTAGAGAGCTAGAAAAGTTTCTAGACAAAACTTTAAAAACAACCTCTCCCATAAAAGAAGAACAAACAGGCACACTGTTTAACTTGATACTTCTCACTGACTACTTCCTCAATGATCAAATCTCAAATAATGATAAAATCTTAAAGTGGAGCTGCTTCGACTTTCCCCGTTTCCCATTTAGGATTCTAAACCTTTTCAAAATAACCACAGCCCAACGTACAATTTCTATAAGCACAATGGAGCTGTGGTATGAATCTAGCAAGGGAGGTTCTGTTATGGCAGACACCAGGCTTTCATGGTTCTTGTACAGCAGGTTCTTATGTCCAGGTTTTCTTTCATGATCAACAGGTTATATGGAAGGTAACTGTTGAGAGTTAAAAATGAGAAGCCATTTGGGTCACTGTGACAAAACCCTAGAGTAGATACTACAACATAGACAGGCAAAGCCAAGAATCACATGATGAATAGTAACTGAGAAACAGGCCTGTGATGCTCAAGCAGGCACCAGAGGCAGAATCCAAGGCTTTTGAGTTCTAGACATCAGCACTGCTAACTGGTAACGTTCCTGGCTATCATAGACAGTTGTGATTTCTTGGCAACAGGCCTCTTAGGAACTAAGAAGTTTATTACTCTTGGTTGGAGGTAAGGTTCACAGTCATGGCCTTAATGGCAGGCAGATCTGTATGAATGTGTTTGAGGCCAGACTGGTCTACAGAGTAGAGTGAGTTCTAGGATAGCCAGGGCTACACAGAGACCCTGTCTCAAAAACCAAACTCCCCCACCCCAAAACAACAACAACAAAAACCAAAACAAACTAAAACCAACCAAACAAAAGAACCCAAAGAAACAAAGAAAGAAAGGGGGGGAGAGAAAGAAAGAGAGAGAGAGAGAGAGAGAGGGAGGGAGGGAGGGAGGGAGGGGAGGGGAGGGGAGGAAGGAAGGAAGGAAGGAAGGAAGGAAAGAAAGAGAGAAAGACGGACAGACAGACAGACTGGAAAAGCCCCTGATCACTAGTGAAGATGGTATTACTGTTTATAGGCAGAAACAAAGACAAAACCAGGTATGATAAGGGCAAGCCTGGATGACTGATCTAGTGGGCTTGCTTCTCATCATTAGACAGGTTACACTCCTAGGAGGGGGTGGTATCTTGGTGAGGTAGAAATTAGAACTACTGTGTCTTGGTTTCTAGAATGTCAATAGCTTATTTTAAAAAATGGTCAAGGTCCTGGAGAGATAGCTCAGGAGTTAAGACTGCTTCCTGCTCTTCCAGAGGACCCGAGTTCAGTTCCCAACATCGATGCTGGATCACAATAGCCTGTAATTACAGCTCTAAATATGATGCTCTTCAGGCCTCTACAGACACCTGCATACATGATACATACGATACATATAGAGTAAACACTACATCTGAAACAACAACAACAAAAGACTACTTCAACACAATAAATGTCACATATCTTGGTCATTAAATCCATAATTCAACAGATAGTAAGCATGCAAAAAATAAAAGTAGTTTACTCTTTCCCATGGCTATCAAGTGTACCCAAAGCTAAAACTAAATCACTTCAAAGTTCCATCCATATTGTGGAAGTTTTAGTATATGTGTGAAAATATCACTTATATAACTACGAACAAAAAAATAAATTTCGCAAAATTTTTCCTGATATGATAGTTTGTGCCACCAATCACAAAAAAGTAATTA